CTTGATCTTAAGTGGAAAGTTTTCAGAATTTCCCATTGAGTATGTTGTTAGCTGTGAGTTTTTCATAGATGCTCTGTATCACACATATGTAATTTTAAATTTTCTAATAGATGCATGATACTTGTAATATATTTAATTCCATCTAAAATACAATTTCAACATAAAATCAGGATAAAAATTTATGATTTTACATTTTTTTATATTAAGTCTTCAAAATCCTGTATGTAACTTATAATTAAGCACATCTCAGTTTCAACTAGCCTCATTTCAAGAGTTCAGTAACCACACGTAACTAGTAACTACTGCATTGGATAGTGTAACTCTAGAGTTAAAGAGACCTGGGTTTGAATTCTAGCTCCCTTACATTATTATTCTGAATTCAGGAAAGTTATCTCATGAATCTGAACTCGTTTCATCATCCAAAAAGTTGAGGCAAGTATAGTCTTAGAGTCTTCACAATGGTTAAATGCAAAAGTGTATGAAATGACAGCCTGGGTTTAGATCCCAGTGAATGAACCTGGCTTCTGCTTCTAGAAAATGAAAATAGTAGTAACTACCTCAGGGTTGTGATTACAAGAAATGCTATAAGTTACCTAGAAGAGTACATCATCTATAATATGCATTTACTAAATTAACACTGTACTGATTAAAATGGAAGGAGGGGGGCGCCTGGGTGGCTCAGTCGTTAAGCATCTGCCTTCGGCTCAGGTCATGGTCCCAGGGTCCTGGGATCAAGTCCCACATCAGGCTCCCTGCTCGGCAGGAAGCCTGCTTCTCCCTCTCCCACTCCCCCTGCTTGTGTTCCTGCTCTCACTATCTCTCTCTCTGTCAAATAAATAAATAAAATCTTTAAAAATAAATAAATAAAAAATAAATAAAATGGAAGGAGGGGCACCTGGGTGGCTCAGTTGGTTGGGCAGCTGCCTTCGGCTCCGGTCATGATCCCAGGGTCCTGGGATCGAGCCCCGCATCGGGCTCCCTGCTCAGCAGAGAGCCTGCTACTCCCTTTCCCTCTGCCTGCCACTCTGTCTACTTGTGCTCTCTATCTCTCTGTCAAATAAACAAATAAAAAATATCTTTAAAAAAATAATAAAATGGAAGGAGACCCATGACCCATTCATGCTAGAGAATGAAAAATCAGGCAGCATACTACATAACCTCATTTAAGTAAGTGATAATATAAGGATAGACTATTTAGGACATTCACAACCACATCATTAGCTATCTTGGGATCATAGAATTCTCACTTTACTTTTCTTGCTTGGATTCACTAGAGAGCATGTGTTTCTGCTTAAAATCCTTCAGTAAAGTTCTGGGATCAGCAACACATCAATAGCAATGAACACACCTACCTCTCAGATCTTGGTTTCTGAATACCATTCTCCCCTAAAATGAAGCGGATTTCCTTAGGAAAAATGGCCAATTAAAGGGCTGGGGCAGGTAAAGTACAAGATGAGCTTGCAATACCTCATTGTGATTGAAAGTCAGAAAGCACTGAAGAATGATAGGGACATGGGAAAAGGACAGTAGTTGGGCTGAAGGGAGTCCCACTGGCTAAATCTTGGACCATTTGAGCATCAATAAATAATCTGTTACCATCCTCATATCCCATTAAAATAGGAATATTTGAATCCCTTCTGATATAAGTAAATGAGGAAATTGAAAGTTGGATGCAGAATGAGATGTATATTTAATACAAAGTACCTCTCTAGAAAATAATTAATACAAAGGGAAAAATAGTAACTTTACATAGGGAAGCCTGAATATACCTCCTTACTCAGATAATCAAAGTTAAACGGCAATGTGACAAATCAAAATCATATGCAATTTGGCAGTGACAACCTATTTTTATCATATTCCTGCCAGATATACAGGCTGAATGGAGGAAATAAGCAATTCCAAACTGAAGAACAGTAAACAAAACAAGAGGCTTATAATATTCAAAACAGTCAAGGCCATGAAAGTTCAGGAAAATTGATGAACTGTTCCAGATTGAAGGAGACTAAAGAGACAATTAAATAAAATACTCAATCCTGACCTGGATCCTTTTGCTATTAAGGACTTTATTGGGATGATTAGTAACACTTGAATGAAGTCTCAGGATTAAATGGTAGTCATGTAACATTGGATGTTTCCCGATTTTGATGGTTGTAATTTCAATTATATAGGAGAATATTCTTGTTTGTAGAAAAGACACACTGAAGTATCCAAGAATAGAAGCATCAGGTTGGCAACCTCCTCTCAAGTGATTTAGGAAGTCTTGTATTGTTCTTACAACTTTTGTTAGTTTGAGATTCTTTCAAAATTAATGTTTAAAAAATCCTCCAAAGGTTTACTGTGGTCTTTTAAAATGAATCCCCTCTGTTCTTTGCCATGGCCAATAAGGGACTAATAATCTGGTCACTGCCAACCATATCAATTTGCCCTTTTTCCCTTACTCTCTCTGCTCCTTTCTTTATATTGCCAAACTTGGAAAAGCAGTCTACACAGGTTGATGTCCTCCCTGCTCGACAGGTGAGATTCACCTTTAACCTTTGTTCCATGCTGGAAAGATGGACCCTCACTGTTGTTCCTCCCTGCATCCTATGGAGTTAGGACTCTAACTTGGGGTCCCCAAACTCAGTGGATAAGAATCTCCTAAAGAACCTGCTGAAAATGACAACTCCTGAGCCTCACTCATGACCTAATCAGTCCCAGGGAGTGCAGTCTGGGAAGTCATGTGCAACAAGTCCATTTTGGTACAGGAGGTGGTCGTCAGACCTCAGGTGAAAAACACTAGCAAGTCTAGACTCAAGTGCAAAAGAGACTTTCTGATTCAGGGCATAAGAAATTGGTGTGTCCAGCCCCAAGCCTCACAAGAGGGGAAATGGGCTCTCACAAAGAAAAACAGACCTAATTCACAGAAACAGGGGAGGGACTCTGGAATAGAGGTTTAGGTCAGCTATGATTTCTATATGTTAAACTCTAGACTCTAGTAATCAGAAGCCTAATCCAAATGTATGATCTGTGCCAGACAACTGGGCTTGCATAGGAACAGGGAGCTTATTAGCTAACAAGCTAATGGGGCAGTGAGGCACAAGATTAATATGGAACCAGATTAGATGAGGCTGTAGGAAACGCAATGGGAGAGAGGAAGCATGGAAATGGGGAAGGGTGTCATTCTTGCCTGCTATTAACTGCTATCCACAAGAGCCGTGTGTCTTTGGTTTCCTGCTCTGGAAGCTTACCTGATCAATAGTTTGAAGAAAATCTTCCACAGCAATTAACAAAGCCTTACATGGAAAGCCAGTGTAGGAGATGGATTGAAGACCTGCCCTGGCTGAAGGGAGAAGATGAGGAAGAGAATCTCTAAAATCTTGCCTATTTCCCCAACTTCCAGGTGTGTGTACAATGGAAAAGGGAACCTAAGCGTCCTCCCAATAAGAAAAATATACTCTGAAAATACCACTGGCCTACTGTTAGTATAGGATGACAATATACTGCCTTCCCCTGTCACTAATCCACTGAACAGCACTCCAGGCAGGCACTACCAACTCATTCGGGCTGGCATCAGAAAGGAAATCTTCTCACCATCCAACTCATGTGCTCCATCCCGGCTGAACTCCCAGCTCATGACCCAGAGGACAGAGGTAGCTGGCAGGGCCAGCTCTCAGCCACGGTCCCAGGGGTTGGGCTGTGCTGAGGGCAGTCCTGACCCTCACCTTGTGCTGGAGGTCCTTGAGACTGTGCGCCATGATTCCCTTCCGCACACTCCGGTCAGCAGTGCTTACTCTGCAGGGCCGGGCCTTGGGGGCCTCCGGGCTGGACTCGGACAATAGCTCCTGGGTCACCCCTGAGGTGCTCACGGCCACATGCCTGGGGACAATTTGGAGCATTAGAATGAGCTGTCTGCTGCCTCCTAGCCCTTACCCCACTGCAGGAAACTGACTCCCCTACTCCTGTAGGTTGAGCTCATCACATTTCTCCTCCTCTACCACCCACCAGGCCTGCTCTAAGTCTTACTAGTCTTACTCAAAGGCTGCTAGATCAGTACATCTCAAACTTTAGTGAACACGTATGTCCTCTGGGGATCTGAATCTGATTCAGTAGGTCTGGGTGGAGTCTGGGATTCCAAATGTCTAATAAGTTTTTTTTTTTTTAAAGATTTTATTTATTTATTTGAGACAGAGAGAATGAGAGACAGAGAGCATGAGAGGGAAGAGGGTCAGAGGGAGAAGCAGACTCCCCGCCGAGCAGGGAGCCCGACGCGGGACTCGATCCCGGGACTCCAGGATCATGACCTGAGCCGAAGGCAGTCGCCTAACCAACTGAGCCACCCAGGCGCCCCTAATAAGTTTTTTTTTTAAGATTTTATTTATTTATTTGACAGAGAGAGACACAGCGAGAGAGGGAACACAAACAGGGGGAGTGGGAGAGGGAAGAGCAGGCTTCCCGTGGAGCAGGGAGCCCAATGTGGGGCTCGATCCCAGGACCCTGGGATCATGACCTGAGCCAAAGGCAGATGCTTAACGACTGAGCCACCCAGGTGCCCCTGCCTTCCTCTTCTTATAAGGAGAGGTGAAATCAGGGAAGTTTTCACAGAAGAGGTGCTGTTTGAGTTCCCTAGGCAGTAAAGGGGTGGGCATTCCAGGAGGAGAGTCCAGGTAATTTGCGGTGGTATGGGGGAAGCATTGAGAAATAGTCCTGCCAGCCTGGAAAGCCAGGGTGAGGAGCTGGAACTTTCTTCTGTGAGGTGAGAGCAGGGAGGCTCATGCTTAGAGCTGTGTTTTAGGCAGATGGCTGTGGGGCCGGCATGGGGGATGCTGTGGCCCCGGGGCTCGAGGTTGGAGGCTGCATTGCTCTCCAGAGAGCCCCATGGCAGGTCTGCCTGGGTCTCACCTATCTCCCCACTCAGCAGGCAGCTCTGTCTTCCCCCAGCTGTCATGGGGTCCCTGCCCATGGCCCCATGGGGTTCCTTGCTCTGTGGCAGCCCCTCAGGCATACCATGTCCCCTGCAGATGACCAAGATGCTGGACCTTCTGGAGGACTTCCTGGAGTATGAGGGCTACAAGTATGAGCGGATTGATGGTGGCATCACTGGGGGCCTCCGACAAGAGGCGATCGACAGATTCAATGGTACCCCTGCCTTACCCAGGGGTTCTTGATGGGGACCCCATGTCTGCCTTTTCTCCCAGGCTAAGATCTTGGCCAGGCCCCCCAAATGGATGTTCAGATTAGCTTCCCCTCAAGTGGCTGAAGAAAGCAGACCAGTCCTTAGGTCCTAACAGCTTGCCCTTAGTTTTAAATGCTCAAAGGAGTTAATCCCATGGAACCTCCAGGGGCCAGCTGGGGTGCTGAGGGGCCCAGGAGGTAACACCTGTTCAGAACTGAGAACTGGACACAGAGAAGGGCAGATAGGGAGGAAAGTACCACCTCTATTACTAAATGAAGCTGGCGCTGAGGGTCTGGTTGACCCCTGCGGGCTTCGGATGCTGACACCAGGTAAACCAGCAGTTATGAGCAGTGCGGGATGGACACCTCCACCTGGGCCCCCACTGCCCAGATGCCCAAAGGAGCGATGCCCGTTGTCCACTGGTGTTGGAGATAGAACGAGTACAGGGTTCCAGGATCTAGATGGAAGTGGGAGTGGCCGAGGCACTGGGAGGACTGGGAACCTGTTTGTAGCTCTTATGGGTGTGCAGGGCAGTCCCAGGTCCCGTATGAAGGGCTTAGGTAGGTCTGAGAACCAGCTGTCCTGTGACAGTGGGGACTGTCCAGCAGGGTTGCTGGGGCCCTGGAGCTGTGACCCTGAGTGTCTCCTGGCCACACTGACAGCCTCATGGACTAGGTAAAGCCGGGAGGGCACGAAGGACTGAGCTCTCCAGGGCCGACCCTTATTATGGGTCTGCCTGTATTTGCTGGCTATTCGTAGTTTGTTCTTTGCCCATCTGGGCTTTGAAAATCAACTTCCTCTCACTCTGGCTCCCTCCTGTTGGGTCAGGGCTCAGAGCACAGCTGGGGGCTAAGTGGGGCTCGAGTGGACTGCTCTGTGCCCACCCTGGGCCCCCGGTCTCCTGCAGCTTCCCTGAACACAGCTGGGACTGTTGTTGTCCGTGATGGGGTCACAGTCCCCAGCAGCTCCTTCCCTCTTGTATCTGCTCCCGCCCTGCTCTCTGCTGTCCACCTGTCCCCTCCCTCTCCGCTCTGACCCCACTGGGCACCTGCCTCTCTTCCTCAGCCCCTGGGGCGCAGCAGTTCTGCTTCCTTCTCTCGACCCGGGCGGGGGGCCTGGGCATCAACCTGGCCACAGCAGACACCGTCATCATCTACGACTCGGACTGGAATCCACACAATGACATCCAGGTCTGTGGCCCTGACACCACAACCCTCTCAGACAGCCCCTTGCCACACCTGGTTCTGTGGGCTTTCCATCCCTCCCCCTCAGACTGTGTCTCATGGAGAGACACAAGAGGGGCCCGGGGGTTGGGGGGTGAGTGGAGCTTTGCCCCGCCCCTCCGGCTCCCTCATTATACAAAAGAGGAAACGCCCAGAGAGGACAGGCAGGGTGTCCAAGGACTCACGACAGTCTGTGTGCCTGGTAACCCCTGGTCTGTCCCATCACTCTTAGGACCAAGGCCATGGAAGGAGGCAGGAGGAGGGAGTCCTGGGACCCAGAGGGAGCCAGTTTGGGAGGAAGCAAGGGAAACAGAGTGGGGGGAGAAGCCTGTGGGAGAAGAGATGGAGGGGGCAAAGGGGGCTGGTGAGGAAGGATGGGCGGGCTGAGGGGAGTGGGGGTTGTGGGAGTAGAGACACACACTGTTGTTGCCTGGTCACCCCACCCGGGGCAGGGATGGACACACACACACACACTCGTTTCTCATGCACACATGTGCACCCACACACGGTCACCAGCATAGATAGAAACACTATGGTCGCATCACGCAGACACCCAGTGCACGCAGCGCCGGGCAGCTTCCGGGCCTTGCTGCCCTCCCGAGCTGGCTGTGCAGTCCCATCCGCGGCTCACTCACCCCATCTCCCCGATCTGCCATCAGAGCCCCATGTGGCTTCGACACGTCCAGCACACTGGCCCCTGCCCACCCGCAGCCATGCCCAGCTCCACCTGTGCGGGCACCCAGGCCCACACGAGACTACCCACAGTCGGGAAGGGAGAGGAGCTGGCCTGACACGTGTGCATTTCCATGGGGTCACACGGCTCGTTCCACACAGAACATGCCCATGAACATGTGTGCACACCCCCTCTCCCCATGAGGTGCCCGACCCTGCCCCCCCAGCCCTTGGCTGAGCCCCGAGCACTGAGCTGCAGCTTGCCCCCAGGCCTTCAGCCGTGCCCATCGCATCGGACAGAACAAGAAGGTGATGATCTACCGCTTCGTGACTCGGGCCTCGGTGGAGGAGCGCATCACACAGGTGGCCAAGCGCAAGATGATGCTCACCCACCTGGTGGTACGGCCCGGCCTCGGCTCCAAGTCCGGCTCCATGACCAAGCAGGAGCTGGACGACATCCTCAAGTTCGGCACAGAAGAGCTCTTCAAGGACGACGTGGAGGGTGGGTGTCCAGGGTGGCTAGGGGGTGGGGGCTACTCCAGACACACCCATCGCAGGGCCTCTGCCAGCCCACAGCCTCTCTCTCCTCTGCTCCGTCTCCTGGCCAGGGCGGCCTCGCTGGGCACTGCCCCCCAGCCCTACAGCCCCTCTGACTCTGTCCTACAGGCATGATGTCTCAGGGCCAGAGGCCGGTCACGCCCATCCCTGATGTCCAGTCCTCCAAAGGGGGAGCCCTGGCTGCCAGCGCCAAGAAGAAGCATGGCAGCACCCCGCCAGGTAGGGGCTAACTCAGCCTAGCTCCCAGCTCCTCCTGTGCTTCCGGTGGCTGTTCCTGGAGAGGAACCCCGCTCGGCCCTTCCTGCGTTTGGTCGCGCTCTCCTGCCTGCCCCCACCGGCCCCTCACTTGGGTAGCCGCGGACTGTCGGGTGGGCAGGTTCCCCTCTCTGGTCACCATGCTCCTCCGCTGCAGCCCCTGCTGGGGGCTTGGAAGGGCCAGGGTCGGGAGTCCGTCCCTGTGGGGTCCCCACGGTCGGGGAGTCTGTCCCTATGGGGTTGGACCCCACCCCCGTCTGTCCCTTCACTCTGCACCCTGTTTGCCCCAGGCGACAACAAGGACGTGGAGGACAGCAGTGTGATCCACTATGACGATGCGGCCATCTCCAAGCTGCTGGACCGAAACCAGGACGCCACGGACGACACGGAGCTGCAGAATATGAACGAGTACCTGAGCTCCTTCAAGGTGGCGCAGTACGTGGTGCGCGAGGAGGACGGCGTGGTAAGCCCGCCCCCCGCCGCGGCCCCGCCCCCGCCGCGGCCCCGCCCATCTCCACCCAGCAAACTTTTACTCCTGAGGTCCGCCCTTGGGTCTTTCCGGATCAGCGCCTCCACTTCCTTCAGTCCCGCCGCCCTCCACGCAGATCCTGGGTGCTAATTATCATTCAGGAAACCGGGAGCCTCCTGAGGTCAGGGGTGGGGCTTACTCAATTCTGTACCCCAATGCCTGGCACAAGGCCAGGAAATACTTGTGGCGTGAACGAATGAACGAACGAATGAACGAACGAACGAATGAATGAATGAACGACTGTGACAGGGGCAGGATGAAGACCATCTGGGGCTGGGGTGATCAAGGTGGCTTCCTGGAGTAGGCAGGCTTTCCGGTTCAGCCTTGAGCTCCTAGAGGCTAAGGTGAGGTGGAGGCAGCGTGAGGAGCCCCGGGGGCAGTGCTGCCCCCTGTTGGCCCCACCCCGGAGCCCCGGGGCCTGTGCCTGCGGGTCCTGCCGTCATGGGGCCCCGTGCGTGTGTCTCCAGGAGGAGGTGGAGAGGGAGATCATCAAGCAGGAGGAGAACGTGGACCCCGACTACTGGGAGAAGCTCCTGCGGCACCACTACGAGCAGCAGCAGGAGGACCTGGCCCGCAATCTGGGCAAGGGCAAGCGCATCCGCAAGCAGGTCAACTACAACGACGCCTCCCAGGAGGACCAGGGTGCGTGGCCCCCGCAGCACGCCCGCATGCGCCGGAGAGTAGGGAGTGGGGGGGCAGTGTGTGTGTGGGGGGCTTCCTGGAGAAAGGGGGCTTGGAGCAAGTGTGGGCTGTTGGGTGTCTGGAGGAGCTAGATGGATGGTGGTCCGGTGACTTCTGACCTTGGGCGAGCCTCAGTTTCCCCATCTGTAAAAGAGGGATGATCACGGTACGGTATCTTAGGATATAGTGCAGGGCCGGTGGGATTCAGCGAGCTCACAGGAAGTTTCCCCCGGGGCTCTTTTCATTGTCACTCCCTCCTGGGCTGGGGTTTAGGGGCTCGGCATGGCCCTGGGTGTTTTGGAGGCTCACTCTGTGCCTTTCCACGTGGCCCCTCACAGAGTGGCAGGACGAGCTCTCAGATAACCAGTCCGAATATTCCATTGGCTCCGAGGATGAGGACGAGGACTTTGAGGAAAGGCCAGAAGGGCAGAGTGAGTCTCATGGCTGGTGACCCTGGACTGGGGCCCAGACCTGTGTCAGGGGGCTGACGGTCAGCATGGGGTCTCCTGGGAGCATCAGGACAGTCATCCATCCTTTGGGGGATGTCCTGAGGGATCCTGCTGTCCTGGGGTGAGTTGGTGGATAGGGTGGGGGGTCAGGACACCCCGGGCTCCAGTGAGGTGTTGTGGTGGGGCTACTTCCCAGGTGGACGGCGACAATCCAGGAGGCAGCTGAAGAGCGACAGGGACAAGCCCCTGCCACCTCTTCTCGCCCGTGTGGGTGGCAATATCGAGGTGAGGCCCGCCTGCACACCCCTTCCCCAGTTCCCCTGCCCCCTCCTCAGAGCAAAGAGCTCACCCGTGCTACACCTCTGGCGTGTGGAACAGGGCTGGAGGCAGGAGGGCGAGGGGCTTGCCCAGGGTCACAGCTGTGTAGAGGTGGGGCCAGGACAGACCCTGGGTCTGGGCTCTGCCCTCTGGGTCCTGCCCTAGCTGGAGGCCCCTGCCTTCTCTGTGCTCCTCTCTGCCTCCTCCCCTCCATATGCCTTTCTCCCCATCCCTGAATTCTCTGCTCCCCCACCCCACTCCCTGCTCACGCAGGTGCTGGGCTTCAATGCCCGCCAGCGGAAGGCCTTTCTGAACGCCATCATGCGCTGGGGCATGCCCCCCCAGGATGCCTTCAACTCTCACTGGCTGGTGCGGGACCTTCGAGGGAAAAGCGAGAAGGAATTTAGGTAAAGGGGCTGAGGTGGTGGCCCAGGGTGTAGCTGCCCGCCGCAGAGTGGGGCAGGCTCCACTGGGCGAGACTGCACAATGGGCATCATTTGTGCTCTCGTCCTGGGCTTCTTGTCTGGAGGATTCACTGTTGTCTGGTCTTCTGGTGGCTGGGGTCCAGGCCCGGGCAGGGCTCATTTGTAGAAAACACAGACCAGCCACCTCTGCTAGACCAGATCCGGGGCAAGGGCTGTCCTAGTAGGTTCTCTTCCCAGGGGAGGCCCCCTCTGTCCTTCCCTGGGGGCCTGACCCAGCAGGCCTGGCTGGGAGGCAGGGGATGGATGATGGTTCCAGCCAGGGGGTTTGCTGGGGGTCCTGCCAGCCTTCTCAGAGGGTCCTTGCTGGCCCCCCACTCCCTGAGCCCCAGTAACCCCCACCCCAGAGCCTATGTGTCCCTCTTCATGCGGCACCTGTGTGAGCCGGGCGCTGACGGCGCAGAGACCTTCGCGGACGGTGTGCCCCGTGAGGGCCTCTCGAGGCAGCACGTGCTCACCCGCATCGGGGTCATGTCACTAGTTAGGAAGAAGGTGGGTGAGTAAGCCTTGCCTGGGCCTTTCCTGGTGGCCCCCCATGGCCCTCGTGTGCCCCCTGGGGGTCAGCGGGCAGGGGGCAAGTGCCTGGCTCAGGACACTGAGTCAGGCTAGAGGGACCTCTCTGAAGACCTGTCTGGGTGGGGAGGTGTGAGGCTGGAGGTGGGGATGGCAGGTCACAGGGCAGAGGACACACAGGGGGTGGGGGTGGGGGTGGGGCCTGGCACAGCGGTTTGTGGTCAGAAGTGCATTTGGCTTGGCCAGCCTTGGGGGGAGGTGGCATTCATCCCGAGCCTGGGACACCCCCAGTCCCACCGACCGCCCTGAGGCCCTTAGGTCTGAGCTGAGACCACCTCCCTCTCTCCTTCCCTGCCTCCCGCCCCAGGTTCAGGAGTTTGAGCACGTTAACGGGAAGTACAGCACCCCGGACTTGATCCCCGAGGGGCCCGAGGGCAAGAAGCCAAGCGAGGTCATCTCCTCGGACCCCAACACGCCAGTGCCCGCCAGCCCTGCCCACCTCCTGCCGACCCCACTGGGCCTGCCAGGTCTGGGCTCCGATGAACGGGGGAGGGCGCCTGGGTCACGGGGTGTTGGTGGCAAGGCCCCCGGAGAGCCCGGGTCCTCCGCACAACCCATGACAGACAGCCTCCCTTCCGCCCACAAGCTTCTGCCTGCAGAAACGTTGCTCTGCTCCGACTTTCTCTTTTTAACGGCTATTCACATATCACAACACTTAGTCTTTAAAAATCTTACTGTTCAGGAGTTACTAGTATATTCACAGGGATGAATCACCTCTAATGCTAGAAGGTTTTTGTCACCCAGAGAAAAACTTGTACCTATTAGCAGTCACTCCTGTTCCTTTCCCCGCCCAGCCCCTGGCGGCCACGAATCTACTTTGTGTCTGTGGGTTTGCCTGTTCTGGACCTTTCCGGCAGATGGAACTATATCCTATGTGACCTCCTGTGTCTGGCTTCGTTCTCTAGTGTGTTTTCGACGTTCGTCACGTTGTAGGGTGGGTCGTTGCTTCAATCCTTTTCGTGGCCGAATACTATTCCGTTGTATGGATGAACCACATTTTTGTTTAGTCATTTGTCAGCTGATGGATTTGGGGTTGTTTCTACTTTTTGACTGGTGTGGAAAATGTGAGGGATGCTGCAAGTGGTGTGTGGCCGTGAACGTCCATGTTCAAGCGAAGGCACGTCCCTTCACTGCATTTCTCTCGGGTGTGTAGCTAGGAATGGTGTTGCTGGATCGAAGGGCGTAACGTGTTGAGGAACTGCTGGATTTTTCCACAGTGGCCATGTCGTCTTATATTCTCCCCAGCCACATATGACGGTTCCGGTTTCCCCACATCCTCACCGAACGTTTGTTGTCTGACTTTCTGCTTGTAGCCATGCTAGCGGGTGTGAAATGGTGTCTCCCCGAGGTTTTCTTGTGCTTCTGGGCCACTTGTGTATCTCTTTTGGCGAAATATCTTTTCAGATCCTTTGCTCTTCTTTGATGGGTTATTTGTCTGAGTATCTTTTTGGTGATCCATGCATTTATTTGGGCGAAGCATCTTCTTCCCTCAGAGGGACCTCGCAGGCCTGGCACTGACCTACCGATGCCCAGGTGACACGTGAAGTCCAGGGAGCCTTTGCCTCCAAGGACATACCTGCTGCTTCTGGGCATGTGTGCCCTTGGGAGCGGACGGGCCTGGGTTTGCTTCCTGGCCCTCTGTGAGCCCCGTTTTCTCATCCATGATGTGGGACAGGCTAGTGCCCACCTCCCAGGGCTACTCAGAGTATGAGAGTCACCAGCACTCGGCAGTGTGTTGAGTAAGGGAAGGTCAGTGAGGGAAGGCACATGGCTTGTCAGCCAGCCAGAAAGCAGGAACCACATCCAGCTGTTCTGGCTCCTAGGCCTGCCTCCACTCGCCTCACCTCCTGCTTTTAGATGGGGGGCCCTGCTCTGGGCAGCCCTGTCCCATCAGCCTGTGGCTTTGGCCTCACTGGCTTAGCCTGTGTCTGCAGGCTTAGCCTGGGGTCTCTGGCTCACCTGGTTCACCTGTCCTTCTTCTGGAGGTGTCTGGCCCAAATGGAGCCACCTGGCACCCCCATTTCCTGCCCTTCACCCCCTGCCTGCCCTAGCCCATCTATCTCACCTCTGTCCTTTGATCTTTCAGACAAAATGGAAGCCCAGCTGGGTTACATGGATGAGAAGGAGCTGGGGGTTCAGAAGCCAAAGAAACCCCCAGAAATCCAGGTATGGAAGGTGCTGGTGTCTGGGCCCCTGGGGGGCTGTGGGTTGGGGGTTGGATCTTGAGACCTTCTCAGCCCTTGGTTGGGCAGCTAGAATCCAGGCCTCCTGGCACCATGTTTGGGCCTCTGGGTCTGGGGGAGCAGGTTGGGAGCACAGATGGGAACCAGGAGAGTTCCTGGTGCCCAGTGCCCGTCCTCTGCCCCCCCATGCTGCTGAGGTCCCAGGCCCTGCAGCATCCCTACCTAGCCTGTCCTCCCCAGGCCCTGCCAACTTCCCTGGACAGAGTGGAGGGCGAGGACAAGCATGAGAGCTCAGATGGCAAGGAGCGGCTGGAGGAGATGGAGAAGGCCCCGCCATCCCCAGAGCAGCTGCCGAAAGGTGCGGCTTCCCACGGTCACCACCCCCAATGTAGCCTCTGGCCTCAGCATCCCTGGGTCAGAGGAGGGCGGCCAGGCTGTGTTCCCCTCCCTCTCTCCCTGGCTGGGTGGCAGGCTCTGTCCTAGTGCGATAGGATCCCCAGGATGAGGAGAGAGCCAAAGGCTCAGGTCTCTAGAGTGGATTTCAACTTTTCCTACGATGCAGAGTTCGGGGGTTATTGGGCTGTCTTTTTATTAGTGAATTCTAACTCTATTGCACCGTGGTTGGGGCACATGAGTCTGTATGATATTGTTTCTACATGATGTCAATGAAACCTGCTTCCTGGCATGATATGGTTTGTAATATGGTATGATTTTGTATCATGTAATATGATATGATTTTGTAAATGGTCGTGTGTGCTTGAAAAGAATGCCTATTTTCTGAATTGCCGAGTGTGAGGTTCTAAATACACATATTAGATCATTATTTTGTTCAAGTTTCTTATATCCTTACTCATTTTTGGTTTGCTTTGATCTGTCAAGTCTGAGAGACTTATGTTAGGATCTCTCACTATGATTGTGGATCGGTGTCTTTCTCTTTGTAAGGCCAGAGTGTGCCTCATATCATTTGAGACTGGGTTGTTAGGTGCATATTGCTTTAGGTTTTTTATATTTTTCTGGTGAAGTGTGCCTCTTATATAATGACCCTTTTATTCCTCCTGATATTTTTTGCTTTAAGGTTTATTTAGGCTGATTTGGATGGATCTTACTTTTGTTAGGTATATATTTGGTTTATGTTTTTCTATCTTTTTACTTAAAAAATACATGTACATACAAACACTTTATTGTGATATAATCACACAGGATACAGTTCATTTATTTTATTTTATTTATTTATTTTTAAAGATTTAATTTGTTTATTTGAGAGAGAGAGCGCATGCGAGCGTGACCAGGGGGAGGAGGGGCAGGAGTAGAGGGACAAGCAGACTCCCCGCTGAGCGCAGAGCCCAGTTCAGGGCTCGATCCCAGGATCCTGAGACCATGACCTGAGCCAAAATCAAGAGTCAGATGCTTAACAGACTGAGCCACTCAGGCACCCCACAGTTCACCCATTTAAAGTGTACAAGTTGGAGATTTTTAGTATATTCGCAGTGTTGTGCAAACATCAGCACAGATAATTTTAGAATATTTTCATCACTCCAAAAAGAAACCTCATGTCCATTAGCATTTATTACCCATTTCTTCCTCTCCACCCCAGCTATCACTCATCTACTTTCTGTCTCTATGGATTTGTGTGTTCTGGACATTTCATGTAAATGGACTCATAAAATAGTTGCCCTTTTTTGTCTGGCTTCTTTCACTTAGCATAATGTTTTCCAGGTTCATCCATCTTGTGGCATGGACCAGTGCTTCATCCCTTTATCCTTTGTATAAATATACCGCATTGTATTTATCCAGCCATCGTTGATGGACATTTGGGTTGTTTTTAATTTTTGGCTGCTGTGAACATTTATGTACCGTTTTTTTGTGTGGACATAGGTTTCAGTTCTGTTGGGTATCTACCTAGGAGTGAAATTGCTGGACTGTATGATAGCTCTGTGTTTAATATTTTGAGGAACTGCCAGATTGTTTTCTCCAGTGGCTGCACTGTTTTACATTCCCATCAGCAATGTATGAGGATTCTGATTTGTCCATGTCTTTGACAATGCTTGTCTTTTTTTTTAAGATTTATTTATTTGAGGGGCGCCTGGGTGGCTCAGTCGTTAAGCGTCTGCCTTGGGCTCAGGTCATGATCCCAGGGTCCTGGGATCGAGCCCCACATCGGGCTCCCTGCTCTGCGGGGAGCCTGCTTCT